GCATTTCCAGCGAGCTGTCAGGCAATGTTGATGCTGCTAATCCCTGAACTACACTTTAAGTAATGAGTTTCTGGGTTAATTACTACAGTAGTCTCAGAAGTGATTCTCCCTCAACCAGTGGTTCTCAACATAAGGACCCCAGACAAGCAACATTATTATTGCTTGGAAACTTGTTGGAAATGCAAACCCTTGGCCAGTTCCAGCCCTACCCAATCAGATACTCTTTGAATAAGCCATCCAGCTTATGTGCTCCAGGTGATTCTAATGTATGCCGAAGTCTGAAACTCACTGATGTCTATCTTTACAACCATCACACACACCCACACCCCAGCATCTTTGCAACAATGTTGTAAATTTTCTTTTTTTTGTAGTGTTTCTGTAATATGGCTTTCTTCTTTTTGTCTGTGTATCTATGTATGTATTGATTTTTAGAGACAGGATCTCACTGTGCTGCTTAGTCTGGTCTCCACCTCCTGGATTCAAGCAGTCTCTCACCTCAGCCTCCCCAGTAACTGGGACTATAGGCATGCACCACCACACATGTCAAAATACAGCTTTCAAGGGCCTCAAACTTTGTCCCCAGCAGACTCCACTCGCTGTCCGTCCTCCTGTTCCTAATTTTAGAGTGAAATTGGCTGCATGTTGTTCTCTGTTCACTCCCTGTCCTTTCTCCACCTTTGCCTTCACTTGTTTCTTTTTCCTGAAGCGGCCCCATGTTTGCTCATTGGAAGCCTCTCCGCTCCTTATGTTCTTGCCAAATGCTGTCTCTGCTGTCTCGTATTTCTCAGGTCACTCGGCTAGGAGCAAATCTTTTTCCTTCCTCGTCCTCAGTTGTGGTTGGCATACTGTGCATTGCATTAGAGCAGTGGTTCTCAGCTGGGGTTGATTTTGCCCCCGGGGACATTTGCTTCCACCTGGAGATGGTTTAGATTGTCACAGCTGCAAGTGCTCGTGCTATAAGCATCAAGTGGGTTGAGGCCAGGGCTGCTGATGAATATCCTGGAATGCGTGGAAAGCATCTCACACCACCCCCAAACAAATAATTATTCAGCCCAAAACGGCAGTAGTGCACTGGTCGGAGGCCCTGCAGCAGACCTTTATGTGCGTCTTCCATTTTCCCTGTGAGACTGTTGTCAGCAGCACCCTGGGGCTGTGTCTTCATCACGCAGGCAAGTTCCAGTACACACAACCAGGTCCGTAAAAGGCTTGTCTTCATTTTATTGAGAAACGGAGCAACCTACTATTGTAAAGTTTAAAAACGCGTGGTCAGTGCTTGCTTATGTGGTTATTGTTGAAGTTGATGTCAAGAATTCCATTGTCTTACGAAGGCCCGAACTTGACTTAAAACTCCACTTTCGTTATTACCTAGTGTGATAGGGAGTCGGGGGTGGGCCTTATTTCTTCTTTACCTTCATGGCCGATGAGGCTTTAGGTGCAGACAAGTTACTGATGATGGAACTGATGCAGAGATGAATGGTCAAATGCCTGCTTTGCTACTTTGGAACTGGGTACTTGCAACAGGGGCTACGTTAGAAAGCTTCTGTCTGGAGAACCCATGCTTGGGTGTGTTCCAGTTGCTGTGTGCAAGCAACTAAAGGTCTTGGTCTTGGCCAAGCCTGTGGAGGACACCGAGAAGTCTCATTGCTATGTATCTACAGGTTACGAAGCGAGATGCTGTCTTGTGATGAGGTGGTGTGCCTGAGGCTCTCTTGCCCACAGGGACCTCTCTGCAGGACACAGACCAGCACACTTGAATGCAGCTTGTGATCTGAAATGCACCACGGGAAGGGAACTGGTTCTGAGAGCCGAACCAGGCTTTGGTGACTCAAAACTCCAGTTTTCTTATTAAGCCCTTGGGTGCCAGTTCATCTGTATGAGTCCCTTGGGGCAAACTGAACTCAGAAGTTTTCAGATTTTAGAAGGTAATCTGGTTGTGCACCACACACTCCATAACACACTTGGCAGAGTCTGGGCAGGACCTGGTAGTCAAATGCACTGTGTATGAGAAACATCGAAGGAGTCTTACAACATGAGAGAAACAAAGACCATTCATTTCAGGTCAGGTTTTGCTACCAAGTGCATTACAAAGTGTTTTTTTGGTGTTGGAGACTTGGGGATTTTAGAGAGACCCAGGGATACAAGGCTGATGATAGGAAGATCAGTTTGGTCTTGATGAGATGGTTGCCCGGCATAAGCTTCTATTATAATCTCGTTTCAACCACACTGTAGAATTGAAATGTCAGGTGGGGAGTGGAGCCATGGGGCCTTCCAGGAAACGTGGCTGTGGAAAATCTTGCCTCGTCAGTGGTCTCTGGCATGTCAGCGGTCTCTGGCCTGCGATGTGCGGATCTCTAAAGCACACACCCTGGGCTCCCCTGATTGCTGGCTTATTTCTTTCTCTTTGTCACACAGAGCTTCCTTTGGTCTTGAGTTAAAGGTCAGGTTTCTGTGAACTGACTGGCCGCAGCCTTTCTTGTCCTGCTGTCTGAGGTGGAGGTGAGCTGAGGCGCCCGAAGTGTCCTATTTGGTGGGTAAGAGACCCCAACAGCCTGGAAGAACACTTCTGTAAACAGCATTTTGTCAGACCAGAGCCATGTTCATTTCCCCATTGCCATGTGAGTGAGAAGACTGAGTCTTCAGACAGTCAGACCTCATTTCTTGGGGGCACAGTTCTCAGAGACGAAGGGGACAGTAGCAAACATTGAAAGGGAGCTGAAGAGAAACAAGACATACCAAATACACTGAGGGTTGTTTTGTTTGTTTTTTTCTAATGAGTTTCAACAGTGCTTTTTTTTAAACAGCAGCTTTCCATAATGCACGAGTCTTATTACTATGAAATGGGTCATCATTGGTTAAACTTCACTTAGGTTAGCTCCAAGTACGACATGACATCTATGTCACCCTGATTCTTATAAACCTGTTATTTGACTGTCTAATGCATGACTCTTAGTGAGGATCATAGCATGAATGTGTGATAAGAAAAAGATCTTAGTTTTACATGTCACTGTTATCCCTAGCGGTGGTTTCAGTGTTCCTTCCTCAGTCCCTGGTGATCCACACTCTCAAGTTAAAAAAAAAAAAGGGTCTGGATTTTACGTCATATTAAGTGCACTGGGTGTTTTGTGGTCTACCACAGGGACTGAACAGAAAAAGAAATTTCCTCGTTTCCCCGCTTTCCTCTGAAAAACACTATTCCCATCTCTGCAGGAAAATCCAGGCTCTTGTCGATGCAAGACACAGCCACTTGGGGGAAGGGGTCTTACTTGGTCACTTCAGGACAATGAAAGCCAAAACAAAGGTTTCTTGTCACTTGGGGCTTTTATCCAGTACATCCCACATTACAAACAATAAATCGCTGGCTGACCCACCTTCTTTGCCAAGGGAACCTGTTGGGGCTTTAGCCTATTTCATAGTTCAAGTAAGACCCTTGTCTATCGACTTATCTACCTATCATCTATACCCCTCCACCATCTATCACCTATCTGTAGCTATCTGTCTTCTCTTTATCGTCTCTCTTTCTGTCTACATCTATCCTCGATCTATTTGTGTATGTGCATCAAAAGGAACAAAGGACTGGCTTGAGTAACGTCACTTTACAATTTTTCCCGCTAACTCTTCTTCTGATGCCAGAGGCTCCTAGCTGAGTCAACTAATCACAGCTTGGCACAATGTCCTCTCAAACAATTATGGGATGCAAAGACATCCTTGGTCTTCAAGAGTCGCAAATGTAGGGCATGCACTGAGACTCAAAAATCATAAAGAAAATATAAAGTTTCTCCTTGGAGGAGGCAAGAGTCGCAAATGTAGGGCATGCACTGAGACTCAAAAATCATAAAGAAAATATAAAGTTTCTCCTTGGAGGAGGACTTTCATAGCACATTAATTCCACCGCACAACTCCAACCAGAGCATGAGTCCTATTGCTTCCTTCTGGAAAGGTTAAGCCAGCTATTACGTTACAGGTAAGTCATGTCCATGCCACATTCTCTTTACTGTTGCATCGTCTGATACAGACCAAGTGGAAACCTGCCTCCGATGTACTGTGTTCCTCTCTCTAGAGGAGCTGCAGCATTCCTGTGAGGGAACCCAGAACTACATGTCCAGCTTGTACATAATTTGCAGGAAAATTCGTACATACGTTTCTGTGTACTGCTCTATTCTGAAAGTTAATTTTTCATTTCCAAAACTATGCATGAATTGAGTATCATTTGATTGTTGTTAAATTTGGAGAAAGCACCATTTACTTGAGACTGAGCTGAATTAAACTATGGAGAGTGAAGGGAGCCAGTTTTAAAGGACGATGGCAGCCAATTTCTTTTGTTACTTATGTTTTTTATTTTTTCCAAGAACAGTTAACATTTACTAGGCACCTATTGGCCTCAGTCACTTGCATCTAAAGAGCAAAGCTAATTTACCCACGGCCCGTGTTCTTTTAAATGGTTAGCCTTATTTCTGACCTCTGTTAACCACTATTCTACGTTAGCTTCAAGTTCAGTTTTAATAACCTATTCCATAGTTGTCTACTGCTCCCTGCCACATGAACAAAAAGTCTGGGGGAATAAGGCGAGCAGTTTACATTTTCTGTGGATACTTCAAGTAATCGGCCCCAAAGTAAAATTGAGTTGGCCATGGTTTATTGTGTTCTGAGGGATAAAATGTGTAAGGAAACGGACCTGGAGAAAGAGTTGATATCCAAGTATGTGTGAATGTGTGAAAATCGTATAACTCCACTTCAACTGGCCTAATATCCTGAGTCACTAGATGGTCAGAAGAACACATACAGTACAAAAAGAACAAACCGATGGACATTTATACTAAAAAACGAAAAACAAAGTTTGTACAAGATGAACAGCAAATGAAATAGCTTCTATCAAAATAAAATCTCACACAGGTCATTTTTCTAGTACGTGGACATACATACACCCACACACGCACAGACACACAAGCAAGAATGTGTATTTTGTAAGATATAGGTCCTTGGAAATAGACATTCTTAGCAAATATGGATGACAGATCAATTGTAATTTATTTTCTTTTAACACTGTATCATCATAAAGAAAACTGGTATAAATGAAAAAATCTATTTCAAATATCTACATCTAAAATTTTAGGCAGTGAAAAAGCACTTTGTTGACAAGGAGTGTGGAATGATGTATGTTAATTGTCAGAAACTGCTGAATGCCTTGTTTAGTCGCCACAAACAAATTCACATATCAGAACGAACAATACTGCTAAATATTCCTTTTTTCCTGCTTTTTTTTTTTTTTTTTTTTTTTTTTTTGTTAAAACATACTGGGAGAAAGTAAAGAAAAACCGGAAATCCATACATCTTTCAAAAGTTTGAAATTGAAGCAATATTTAGAACCATAGATGAGGAAACACGGCGGCATTGGTGTAATATACACAGCGCGCTTTTCTTCTTTAATCTGTAATGTACATCAAATACTTTACAACAATGCATTAACAAAAGGCAAGAAACATCTTGCTGTACAGAGGAACCCCAATGCAACTTGAAGCCTAGAATCACAACGGATGAAGAGGGTAAACAAAGCGTGAGAAGCCGTCCCCCATACAGTGTGTAAACTATTCTGTGTCTTGTGCTTAATGATAACCCTCACGCTCCACCGGCCCGAATGCCTCGTCTCCTCCCATCAGCCACGTTCAATACAAAGCCCTTCTCATTATTCTATAGCTCACGCTAGAAAGGTGCTACCCACTGTCGTATTTAGGATCGCTTTAGCGTTCTACTGATTTCCAAGTTAACCTGCGATTCATTTAGCTTTCTAAAATAGCTCTTAATATGTCCTTACTGGTTATCACAGCCTTCCTATGGAACAGGCTTTAACAAACTAAATTTGCAGGAGAAAAAAATAAAACAGAAAGAAATGTCTTGTGGTTATGCATGCACATGCACTGTTCCCGGAGCGCCTGTGCCCCGCTCCTCACACCCAGGAGTCGGGGGAGGCCGGGTAGTGGCTCGTTTCATAGTTCAGTTCGCTGTAGGGACGGGCAGCTGAGTAGAAGTCAACATAGTTGCCGGTGGACTTGAGCCCCAGGTGCATGGTGTACTCGCTGGCGGGAGGGCGATGGTGGACCTGGTCCTCGAAGAAGGACTCGTCGTAAGTTCTCGTGGAATTCTGAAATGGCTGGTAGGTCTCGTAGTCTTTTCTGCTGGGCTCCTGTGGGACTGGCTGTGCTGAAACCTGAATGGGAAAGAAGGGCCACACTGGGTTACTCGGTTTCCCTTGACTCAACCTCCCTCTTGCCCCGGCACCTGGCTCTCCTTCAAAGAAGAGGTCGTGTGCATCCAGGCATCCACCACTGCGGCACTGCTCCTCCAAAACTTCCAACTGCCATTGGCTTTCCTTTTGAAAACTGGCTCCTACATCCATGTGCTATCATTCTATATAATCTTTATCATTATTGTGGCAAAACATACATAACATAAAACTGCCTGCTTTAAGACACTTTGAAGCATAAGATTAATTAGGTGGTATGAAGCACATTCACAGTGCTGTGCAACCATCACCACCATCTTTTTTAATCATCCCAAACAGAAACTCTGTGCCCATTAAACGTAATTCCTCACCCCCTCTCTCCCAGCCCATGGCAAGCACCATTCTACTTTCTGTCTCTAGAAATCTGCCTAATATAGGGGCTGCGTAGAGTGTTTGTGTGACTGGCCTCCTTCACTAAGTATCATGCTTGCGTGGTCCATCCATGGTGCTGCATATGTCAGACCTTCATCTGTTTTTGTGGCTGAGTAACATTCCACTGCATGATGTGCAGTGCTCCACTGATGAGTGCACTGAAGGCCCTGACTTCGCCGCAGTGCGGTACATCAATGCAGCAAAATTCCGCTTGCACCCCATGATTGTATCCATGTAAGAAGGAAATATCCCATGCTATGCACAGACCACATTTTATTTATCCATTCATCCATTGGTGAATACTTGGGTTATTTCTATCTTTTGGCTGCTGTAAATAATGTTGCAATAGGCACTGTTTATAATAGGAAAGACTTGGAACGAACCAAAATGCCCTTCAATCATAGACCAGATAAAGAAAATGTGGCACATATACACCATGGAATACTATGCAGCCATAGAAAAGGATAAGTTCATGTCCTTTGCAGGGACATGGATGAAGCTGGAAACCATCGTTCTCAGTAAACTGACACAAGAACAGAAAACCAAATACCACATGTTCTCACTCATAAGTGGGTGTTGAACAATGAGAACACATGGACACAGGGAGGGGGGCATCACACACCAGGGCCTGTTGGGGGGTGGGGTGCTAGGGGAGGAATAGCAGCGGGTGGGTGGATTGCAGGGGGATAACATTAGGAGAAACACCTAATGTAGATGACGGGGGGAGAGATGCAGCAAACCACCATGGCACGTGTATACCTACGCAACAAATCTACATGATCTGCACATGGACCCCAGAACTTAAAGTATAACAACAACAAAAAAATAATGTTGCAGTAAACATTGTGCATTAGTACCTGTTCTAGTCCCTGGGGTCCCTATTCAAGCACCTGCCCCTGAAATGAGCAGAATCTCCCAAGGTGTAGGGTGATGGTAACCCTACAGCAAGTGCATACCAGGTTGCTAATATACAGTAATTGGGGAGGAGGTCTGGTGTGAATTATAAAACACTCTTAAAGAAATACTGTTTGATCACTTCTGGGTGAACTCAGTAATTCCCTATTAATTTAACTAAGGTTCAGCATGGAAACATCCTCTAGAAATTGGTCTTAGTTAATAGATAATGATTTGTAATTAGCACGCTGTGTGTAAATGAATGCATTTAATGGCTTGCACGTAATTCTTCTCTCGAGTAAGTGAAACTCCCTCTTATATATGTCATTGATTTACACTAGTAATTGACCTGATCTTCAAAGGAAGTGGTGAACTTCATCACAGCAGCTGTCTAGGATGTCCCACTTGTCTAGTTAGTGGTGGCTGAATGAATGAGGTTTCTGTCTACCTGCAAAAGTCAAAGTCCATACAGCGTAAACCTTTTTTAGCCTGAGAGCTAACAAAGGATGAGAGGAACATTTGGAATAAATGTGCAACATCTGCAATTAAATTCCGTAAGTCCAGGTCTACCGGACTGCACTGCTAGGTTGGGGTGCCCTTTGCTATTCTGTGAAGAGCTCTGCTTGTGCTTTGTTGCGCTTCACTCCAACACAGGGCTGCTTTCCAAGTACAAGACATGCAAAGTCTCAGAATCTAGAGGTTTGGAAAAATTACACAGGGAAGGAACTAGATTTGCTGTGTTTTTAGTTCAGCAGGCACCCTATTCAATATTTAGCAAATTCTTTAATACTCCAGTAGTCATTAATATTTGTATGTGTGTGTGTGTCTGTCTGCATCAATATCTATAATTTATCATGTCTGTCTTCCTATGCACCCACCAATTCATCCATCCGTCCACCCCGCTATCAAACTCCCACCTTCTAGATGAGAAAACCGAGGCACAGAGAAGTTAAGAAGCTTCTCCAAAATGTCATAGCTAGTGGTGGTGTGAGCTGGAACTGGAACACACGGCTGGCTGACCCGACACCCAGGTGCTCTACCAAGCTAGCCCAGTGCCATCACAGTCAGCGTGGCCAAATCTTGGAGGACAGGCCTCAAGGAGCTGACTCCAGGCTCTAAGATAAGAAAAAATATTGGTGGACAAAGGAGACCAAGAAGTGGTGTGTTTTCTTATGCTTATTCTGGGAGGCAGGGGAGACAGTGCAGGAGACAGGGACATCTTCAGGGGAAGACACTCACAAAGCTTATGGGTCTCCTCCAGAGTGGCTTCTGCTTTCATTTTTTTTTTTCTTTTGAACAACCTCGTTCAAATTGCTTTTACTGCTGTCATGTTCTCTCTGGTTGGTGAATATTTTGGAGCTGGGCATCAGCTTTCTGAGCCTCTTACCTCACAGAATTAACTTCTTCTATTCAGCTGTACTGTTCATAAAGTCCCTCCTTAATCACTTCTGAGGTTTGGTGCCCCAATCCCAAGAGCGTGTACAAATGAACTGTCGCAGGTGGCATGTGAGGCTGCCGAACCTGGGGGGTGCTGAATTTGCTCACTAGTCTTGGGGTATGGACATTTGCTGGTGAAACACATCTGCAGTGGAGGAATATTGGCTGCATTTTAAACTTTAAGGGATTATCTGACAGTGCTGAAAATCTGGCTGATGAAATGACCCCTGCAAAAGCCCTTCCCACAGAAGAGCTAAAAATAAATGCATTAAAAGTTGCAAAGTTTGCATCAGTCAGATTTGGATGAGGGAAGTAGAATGATTCCCTGATAGAGCCGTGGGATTTCTGAATCTTGCTGTCGGTCATGGTCTAGGGGAGCCCAGAAACACCGAAGCCTGAAGCTTTTGACTGCTTTGCCTTAATGCTGCATCTTGTTTTAGAAAGGGGCTGTGACCAGCAGCTCACTCCAGGGTCAATATGCCCACACTCTCTGTGCTCTGTCCTGTGGCTTCTGTTTCTACCAAGTCATCTTTGCTGAATTTTTTCCTCAATAGTAGAATGTTCACTCTGAATTATGAAGGATAGTGTCACGACACCTTCCAACTCTGTTAGCATAATGACAAAAGACTTATTTGGGTTTATTCCTTAACGAATTCGGCAGCAAACTGGATTTATTTTAAACACAAGGGAACTAGCAGCCCAGTACAGATCTTCCAACTTTTCCATGTCAGGAAGGCTAAAGACTCAGATGATCATAGAAAATGAAGGAGGCCAGACGTTACGTATCAGTGGTTCTCAAAGCATGATCCCCATACCAGCAGCATCAGCATCACCTGGCAACTTGTTAGAAATGCCGATGACTGGGCTCCACTCCGGACCCACTGAATCAGGGCCTCTGGGGTTGGGACCCAGCAATCCGTACTTGAACAGCCCTTTGGGGAATTCTGGCTCATGCTCTAATTTGAGAACCACCAGCACGGAGGTGAAAAAATGGGACAGGAAGACAGAAGAACTAGGTGGAGTGTTTGCCTCTTCCTGGCCGAGGGACTGAAGGAAACAGGTATCCTCCTTGAATTTCACCTTCCTCATTTCTGCAGACAATTACATCTGGCCTGCTCATGTGACAGGGGGACTAAGGACACCAGGAAGGAACTCAAGATGCTGGTTTTGTTGTCATCAGGTATCATTTCAGTACTGGTCATCAAAACAGCAATCTTTGTTTCTAGTTCCTGAACAGAAATCCTGTTGTCAGCCACATAGAGTCCATTCAACATGATATTTCACTTTATAAATATGGGATGGACTGGTAGAAACACAAAAGGAGTTTTAGAAAGTATGCATAGCTGTCTTTTTTTTTTTTTTTCTTTTTGAGACAGGGTCTCACTTTGTCACCCAGGCTGGAATGCAGTGGTGCAATCATAGCTCACTGTAGACTCCACCTTCCAGGTTTAAGCCATCCTCCTGCCTCAGCACCCCAGGCAGCTGGGATTACAGGCATGCGCCACCATGCCCAGCTAAATTTTGTAGTTTTTGTAGACACATGGTTTTGCTATGTTCCCCAGGCTGGTCTTGAACTACTGAGCTCAAGCTGTCTGCCTGCCTCCGCCTCCCAAAATGTTAGGATTACAGGCATTAGCCACTGCATCCGGTCAGTTAAGTCTTAAAGTGGTGTCTGTAACCCGTTGACCTCAGACAGTCAAACCAAAGATCACAAACTGTGTTTTACACTACCGATTGTTTCTTCTAGGAGTCTTTAAGCTCAGAGTTCACTGAAAATGTGCCTGGGTCCCAGACGGTCACAGGAGCAGCACCCACGTGTGGTCATAGGTCTGGTGCAGGTGCCTCCTTCTCAGCTCTGTCTTTTGTCTTATCTTGTAGATCTACTTGGAACTGATTTCCCTCCATGAATCGCTTCCCCATAAGCTTAGTCACTATCCAGTGTGAAGCTCCCGAGACCTGGCTGGTGACGGAGCCACCCAGGAGACAACAGTGCTCAGCAGAGGACAAGCTTCAATCTTGGACTGACCAAACCCTGGAGCATTTCTCCTGGTGAAACTGTTCCAGGTGTGAAGTTCTGGGGTAACTTTTGGCCCAAGGAAGCTCCCAGCCTGGAAGCATTTCATCGAGAATGGTTGGCCACACCTGTATGGCCAGAGACTCCAAGTCAGGGACACTGTTTATGAGTCTGCTCTAGGACTCCTGACCATGAAAATGTGTCTTTTGAAGGGTTAGGATGGTTGCACCCTATTGAGTCCCCAAGAGAGAAAGCTGCACGTAAAGACAAGGTTTGCTCCTATGACATAGTCCAAAGTACATAAAATGCTTTCTTTCCTTCTCTCCAAGTTCACTGAGTGTCATTATGATCTCCTTGGAAATACTTCTGGGGGGAAAAAAAAAACCTTCTCTTTGGCGGACATTTAAAAATGTTGTTAGATGTTAGGCTAAGATACAAAGATCCAATCATCCACTTCCCTTGGCTGGTCCCTCTCAGGGAAAGATGGTGGACCTGAGCTATGAAGACAGCTCTGTGGGGGCCTGCCTGCAACACCTCAGTGCTAACAAGGGGTGTGGAGCTTGCTCTTCCTCCAGGATGGATTTTAGAAACATTCGCCTCAGACCCAGAGGCCTTGGTGAAGACCCTTGGCCTTCACTCTGAGACCGAGTCAAGCACATTCTGGGGACCTCTGGGAGAAAGGCTATGGCTAGGTGGTGTTCACCTCGCAGCAAGGATGCCATCTTAGCACATTAATTCTCGTTTGCGTCAATGCTCAGGATCTGCTTAGGTAAAAAGCATGTGCCCCTTAGAGTCATATGGACCGTCCTCTAAATCTAGATGGCAGGCAGTCTTTTGGAACCTACTGCAGCCACTCTGTGAGATGTCAAAGACCCCTGGTCACCTCAGGGCCTTTCTTCAATGCCAGTGATAGCAGGACTCCCGGGAGGGGAAGGCTGGTGCAGAGGGAGCTGGTTCTGGTGAGGAGCTTCTCTCTACCTGGGGAAACTCAAGACAGATCTCACACTCTTGGCTGCAAAATCTCAAGGATCTACTACAACCTGACAAGAATCTGTAATAACTGGCAACAGTCTGCTTACTGTACATCCTGAATTTTGTATTTGCCACAAGAAGCCTGGTGGATTTCCATAAATGAAGTTGGCATTTCTAACACATTTTGTCTCTGTTTGTCTTTACGCTTGGGGAGGCAAGTTGGCGTGTGAATAGTTGGGACCTCCCTGGTGACCTGGTGTCTACAGCTCATGACCCTGTTTATTTAGTCATTGACTTCTTTGCTTTTAGCAAATACTAGAATGGAGGGGAGGCTGATTAGATATTAGCAACACATCAAATAGGCCGTGGGGGCCAAGCCGTTCACCAGGAGGGTCACAGACAACACCACATGTCTTCCAGAATGCTGCATGTGGACTGGGATGATGCCCAACGTGGGAAGGAGAGATGGAGGAAGTTTCTTATCAACGAGGGGGAACAGATTGTGTTTGCTGGCTTTTATAGTTCCTGCAGAGCCAGGGAAAATGAGCCTTCAATAAATGTTTGCTGAATAACACACACACACACACACACACACACACACACACACACACACACACAGTGTCTCTCTCAGATTGGTTCCTTAAGAATTTACTGTTCAGTGCTCCTCAAACCTGAATGTGCACACAAGGGCATCTAATTAAAATGCAATTGTGCTACAAAAAATCTTGGTCAGGTTAGGGTTAGGAGCCAGAGAAGGCTCTCTCCTGTATTTCTAACAAGATTCCGGGTAACGCTGGTGCTGCTGGTTCTCCAACTAGATTTTGAGTAGCAAGACACTACAATGCATTTCATTTATTGCAGAATAATAGAACTTACTTATGTATCCTATCTTTTTCAAGCTCTCTATTGAGCTTGCTGTGTCTCCTTTATTGGTAGCGACTGTGTATAACAAGCGCTTCCTTCCTCATGCATTTGCAGGGTTACCGGAGTGTCGTGATCTCTGTCCAGTAATTAGACAATTCCTATTTAGTAACAACATCTTACACTGGTCAATTTGGGGCTTTCTTTTAGCTTTGCACCACAGTAAAATACTTGCTTTCTGCAGTAGATCAAGCACGAGGTTCAAAGGCCATTTGCAAATTTGAGGCTGTTCTGCCGAGTCCAATACACACACACACACCCACACACCCACCCACATGCTGCAACAGGCGTGAGGAGAGGGCCTCAGGGGACCTTGCTTCTTTTTCAGTTCTTTATGTATATTGGAGGAAAACTGATGTTTAAAATTCCAGGTGATTTCACATGAGTCACATTGAAAAGGAAATACAAAGGAGTTGCATGCACTGTACCTGGTTGTGTTTGATGTCTTCAGTGGGCGCACCATATGAATTCCTATACAAAGTTGAAATTCCAGTGTTTTGAGCTAAAAGCAAAAGGAAAACAAAAGTTTAGCAAAAGAAGCAACATTACAAATGAGGAGTGATTGTCAGTGAGGCACGTTCTTGCCCTGACAAAGCTTGTTTTCTTGGGGACCATTCCAAGCAGAAGACATTCTTTGGCTCTGAACACTGCATTTTACATACAGATATTAAAAAAGGAGAACAGTTATTCTAAAAATCCCCACAGTATGTCAGCCGCTTGCAATAACGTTCACATCGCAGACAGGGTCAGGGCAGATGCTGCAAACAGATGGTCATTTTGTAAGTTTTATGGCCTTCTTTTCTGGTGAAAACTGGCGGGTAATAAAGGCTTGTCACCTGCACTGAAGCATGCAGGAGTCCGTATCAGCAGCTTAGCTTTTAGCTGGAGAGTGACAAGAATAGAATTTCTAATTTGAGCTCTCAGAAGTGCTTGATCATCCTTCAGACAGTTCATTTCTTATAGGCCCAAAGGACGGGTAGGGAGCATCGCCCGCATGTCCCCCACGCATCTGGAAGCCTGCGGCTTTGCAAACCTGCTAGAGGCAGGATCCCGCTCTGTTGTCTGGTCTGCCCATGGTCTAGCTGAAAGAGACAAAAGTCTCCTCTAGTTGCCAGCAGCTTCCGAAGGCCCAGAGAGGGGGCCTATTTGCCCACTTCCTTATGGGAGACCCTTGAAGCTCAAGGCATCCACTCACAGGAAGGGCACAGGGCACCACTCCCCTCCCAGCTGCTGAAGGGTCATGGGTCAAGAAAGCTTTGGTAGAATGACCATATCATCTAGCAATCCCACTGCTGGGTGTATATTCAAAAGAAAGGAAATCAGTATATCCAAAGATATCTACACTCCCATGCTTACTGCAGCACTGTTCACAGCAGCCTAGATGTGGAATCAACCCAAGTGTCCATCAACAGATGAATGGTTAAATAAAATGCTGGCTGGGCACAGTGGCTCACACCTGTAATCCCAGCACTTTGGGAGGCCAAGGCAGGTGATTCATGAGGTCACGTACTCAAGAAAAGCCTGGCCAACATGGTGAAACCCGGTCTCTACTAAAAAAAAAAAAATGCTGGGTGTGGTGGCAGATGCCTGTAATCCCAGCTACTCAGGAGGCTGAGGCAGAGAACTGCTTGAAGCCGGGAGACAGAGGTTGCAGTGAGCCAAGAGAGTGCCATTGCACTCCAGCCTGGGTGACAGAGCAAGAGTCTGTCTCAAAAAAAAATGAGGTACATATTTTTTTTCTATTTGTTTTTAATTTTTTTGTGGTTTGTAAGGAGCTGTTTTTAATTTTTAATTTAATTTTTTAAATTGTACTTTAGGTTCTGGGGTACATGTGCAGATCATGCAGGATTGTTGCATAGGTACATACATGGCAAGGTGGTTTGCTGTCTCCATCCCCCCATCTCTTATATTTGGTATTTCTCCCCTGGTTATTCCTCCCCACTCCCCTGCTGTCCCTCCCCTAGCCCCCCACAACTGACTGCAGTGTGTGATGCTCTCCTCCCTGTGTCCACATGTTCTAATTGTTCGACACCCGCCTATGAGTGATGACATGTCGTGTTTGGTTTTCTGTTCTTGTGTCAGTTTGCTGAGAATGATGGTTTCCAGATTCATCCATGTCCCTATGGAGGACATGAACTCATCTTTTTTTATGGCTGCATAGTATTCCATGGTGCATATGTGCCACATTTTCTTTATCCAGTCTATCATTGATGGACATTTGGGTTGGTTCCAGGCCTTTGCTATTGTAAACTGTGCCACAATGCACATATATGTGCATGTGTCTTTATAATAGAACAATTTATAATTCTTTGGGTATATACCCAGTAATGGGATTGCTGGGACAAAAAGTATTGCCATTTCTAGATCCTTGAGGAATCGCCACACTGTCTTCCACAATGTTTGCACTAATTTGCACTCCTACCAGCACTGTTTGGCCTTAAAAAGAATTAAATCCTGTCACTTGCAGCAACATGGATGGAACTGGAGGTTATTTATGTTAAGTGAAATAAGCCATGCACAGAAAGATAAATATCGTATGTTCTCACACATATGTGGAAGCTAAAAAAAATTGATCTCATGAAGATGGGCAGCAGAATGATGGTTACCAGAGCCTGAGAAGGGCAGCTGGGAAGAGGGGTAATAGGGGCTGGTTAATGGGTAGAAAAATACATTTAGAAGAGAAAGGATCTAGTGTTTCATAGCACCACAGGCAACTATAATTCACAATAATTTATTGTATATTTCATAACAACCAGAATAATGGAATTGGGGTGTTCCTAACATAAATAAACAATACATGTTTAAGGTGATGGTATCTCAATAACCCTTATTTGATTATTATACACCATGTACTTGTATCAAAAGATCACATGTACCCATAAATAAGTACAACTATTATGTATTCATAATTTATTTTTTAAAAAAAGCTTTGGAAAATGCTGTCTGTCTAGTGTCAGTGGGGTATAAAACTCTACAACTAGGAAGGGCTTATTGTTTGCTTCCAGTATTTAAGGGATAATGAACTGAGATCATATGCCACCTATAGGTCACAATGTAGAACGGTCAGTATAACCTCTCAAGGTCTAAGTTCACTCCACCCATGATTTTTAGAGTTCATACAGCTGTGCAATAAAAGTCCTCCTGGAGAATTCGGCTGAGGAAGTGAGGGCTGAGAGCCCGTTTTCCATTCTAAAGACCATTCAGCTATCCCCTCTGGTTGAATGTATGCCACTCCTGTCTCCGTATTATGGTGTAAACCACCATCCCTCTCTGGACCACTGCTGCTGACTCTTCTGCGATGTCCCAGCTTCCACTCTGTCCAGCCTGATTCCTCCCTCCATCCTGTTACCAACAGCCGAATGATGGCTTTGTTACACAGGTCGGGTTCTACCTCTTTTCCTGCTTGTAACACTCCAATGCCCTTTGCCCTGAGATAGCCCTCTCCTACGGCCACGGGGCCCTGCGAAGTTTGGTTCCTGCCTAACTTCCTACCACGCTTCTCCCTCCTCACCTCTTGTTAAAGGAGCCCCAGCTATGCTGACCTTCCTTCTTCGGAGCGGCCCGCACTTGTTTAGCTTCGGTGAGGTTGACCTTGCTGATCTTTCTCCCTGGAACTCGCTTCCCTCAGACTTTAAATGTCAGCCCACGTCAGGTGAAGTAACCCTTCCACCTGCACCCCACATCTCATTACTCTGCTCATTTTCTTCTTCCCACTCAACACAGCGCAGTAGCATCTGGTTGGGAACCTGTTCTATTGTTTACCTTACGTACCATCTGCCTCCCTCTTCCAGAGCAGAAACCCCATGAGGCAGAAACAGTCTGTTCTGCTCAGAGCCTGGCACAGCACCTGGCCTCAGTGGACACCCATAGAGGAAGCGCCCTATTTGCTGAATGAATGAATGAGTAAACCTTAGATAAATCTGCCTTCAGAGCTATAATTTGCTGATGGAAGATGTCACTTCAGGGATAAGGTGAAATCTTGTTTTTTCTGCTGCTCAGAATAAAATGCATATATATTTTCTAGAACATTTGCACTACTGTAGCCTTCGTCTCCCTCTCTGTTGTGAAATCATAAACAGACACCAAGACCCTCTTATCAGAGGAATCTGAAAAGCATGAGGCAGAGTTTGCGGCTTCTGAGCCTAGGATATTTCTACTGGAAATTCTTTCCCCTTACTCATTTAAAGGAGGCTGTTGCCGAGACTGAACTACCTTTGCGGACACAGGAGGCAGAGGAATTCACGGAGGCTCTGCCCTGTATGACTGAGCTAATAGTGGACTCACAGAAGAATGCCTTTCTATTTTTCCAACAGCCCCTGAATACCCAATTTCCAACTGAATCAACACATTGAAAATTAGAACGCCTTTCAAAAGCATAAGAGGCCGGGCGCGGTGGCTCACGCCTGTAATCCCAGCACTTTGAGGGGCCGAGGGTAGATTACTTGAACAGGAGTTCAAGACAAGCCTGACCAACATACTGAAACCTTGTCTCTACTAAAAATATAAAATTATCCAGGCGTGGGGGCAGGCACCTGTAATCACAGCTACTCGGGAGGCTGAGGCAGGAGAATTGCTTGAACTTGGGAGGCGGAGGTTACAGTGAGTTGAGATCTTGCCACTGCACTCCAGCCTGGATGACACAGTGAGACGTGGTCTCAAAAATAAATAAATAAAAGGCATAAGAGAGACACTGACAAAAACCAACAGACCACTGGATGAAAGGGTATGTGGGACGCTCAGATGGGAGGGAAAAAACCCCAGGTGAATTTAAAAGTCAGGCAGCAGAGCTGCTGGGATTATGCAACCCTTTCTTAAGGTGAACTGAACACATGAGGTTCCCAGGCATCCAGGACTGCAAGAACTCACTGCTGAAGCCCTCATGCCTGAATGAGCAGCCAACTGGATTTGTCAGGGCTCCTCAGTGGCAGAGCAACACTTAGGAGAGAATAGTTTCAAAAGGCTTCATCCAAGCTAGGAAATGAATCCAGAAAAGGAGGGCAGGGGGAGCCTGAAATAAACACCTAGATGGATCTGAACTTCTAAGAGCTCGGCAGAGGAGATGGTAGCTTCACCAAGGAGCTGTTTCCACTTCCAGCCCGCACAGGCTGCATTTTGAGGGTGAAGCTTCCCTTGTTTTCATAGCAGAGGGAATGTTTTCTTGGCAGGGAATGAAACAAGGAAGATGGCAGTTTTTCAGGTTATCCTTCAATGCACTGAACTTTAAGTGTCCTGTGGATTTGTTCTCGAATGAGACAAAACATTGCTTTTGATGTGGAGGCCACAAGAAATCTGATTTTGCACGTAAACCCTGGAATGAGTTTGCAAATGGGCATTTGCTAACATCCTGCAGGGTGGAGGTTGGAAACTCAATCTCCTGATTCCTATGTGAAAGGCTGGCTTCCACCCGGCTTGGCTGGGACTTATTCATACTACTACTGAAGGTAGCAAACGGCCACTATCCTCACTTCTGCTACCCCACCATCACCTCCGCTACCCCACCGCCACCTCGGCTACCCCACCGCCACCTCCTCTACCCCACCGCCACCTCCGCTACCCCACCGCCACCTCCGCTACCCC